CCCGAGGAATCGGTTCTCACCCGTGTCCAATGAATGACGGGCGGGCGGGCGGTTCTCAAATTTTCTTGTTACCCGGTTCTTTTTCCGAGCACTAAAAATAACCATTAAAATAATCATTAAAATGTGCTGATTCTCTAATCCTTAAAGAGTCGCGTATATGTATAAATGTAAAAATATAAATTTTTTTCAAAAAAAATTTGAAATTCAAACAAAAAAAATAGTAATAATAATAAATCACGCGGATTCATACATTTTATCCATTTATTCCCCATAAAAAAATTGTACATAAATTTTTGCCTTTTTTATTATATTCGCTGTCTTGAAAATTAATTTTCTCAATTGCTGTGTGTTAGAAACACAATTTCTACATTTAGAAAAGTAAGAATATTATGACTAATTGCCCTAGATCAAATTATTCATAATATTCTTCCACAGAAGCAGTGAGTAAAATAAATAAAGGAAAATGTATGTACAACTTTTTTTATGGGAAATAAAAGGACAAAATGTATAAATTTGCGTGATTTATTATTACAATTTTTTTGGTAAAAATTACAAATTTTAATTTGAAAAAAAAAACTTGTCGAGACTCGAACCGGCACGCAGCGATCTCGCAATTACTAGGCAGGCGCGCTACCGCCGAGTCGAAGGAGCTTTGCAAGAGTGAGTGTTCGGATCTTACTGATATGTCATTTATGATGTGGACGTAAGTGGTAATGATGGATCAGGAGAAGGAGCGCAATGAAGGGTAATCCACAAATGACTCCGTATAGGTATAACAGCTTGGAATATATTGTTAGGATATATATACAAGGGTAGGAATGTCAGTGTGTAAATCTTTGGTTGAGATGGATTGACTCCAGGGAGGAGATAGGAAGTAAGTCGGTGTGGCACCCGAAGGTGCCCGCGCCGAAAGGTGCGAAGAGCCTAGCGCCGGTGTCGCTCTATTCTTCTGTGGGGGGAGCTCTCCTCTTCCTCGCCGAACAGTTCCCTCAGCCGGGACGCTGTTACCGGATTGCACTGTACCGCCGTAATGGACCGGATCTT